TTTGTTCATCATGCGCTGATATGTAGTGCCCACGTTTTTTAGACCGAATGGAATTATGTTATAATATTAGTTTCCCGATTCGTTCATAAAGGCGATATATTTTTTGTCCGCTTTTGCCATGGGAATCTGATTATATCCAAAGTATGCGTCCAAGAAAGATAATAATTTGAAATTGGCCGAGCTGTCGACCAGTTTGTTGATATTGGGGAGGGGGTAAGCATATTTCGGGCAAGCCCGGTTGAGATCGGTATAATCAATGCACATACGCCACTTTCCATTAGATTTTTTCACGAGAACTACATTTGAGAGTCAGGTTGTGTACTGGGCTTCAGAAATAAAATATTGCCTCTATGAGGTCTTTGCCAACCTACTCGGAAGCCTCCGTCTTTTCGGGAGACAGCTTCCGCCTATGATGAGCAACTTCCTTAAGGCATGGATCTATGGTCAGAGGGTGACATGTAATTTCTGGGTCAAATTCGGGAGTTTCTGTTGCGCTCCAGGCGAACAGATCAGCTACTAGGAGATGAGTCTTGACGTCCCTGTGGAGGGTGGAGACCAAGCCTTCGGCAGTGTAGTATTTCATCTTGAGGTGTACGGTGGAGGGCACTAAAATCAGTTCGGCTAGAGTGGACCTACCAAAGATGAATTGATAGAGAGACAAGCAGTCCACTACTAGGAGCTGCATCTTGATTGCTCTGGTGGTCACCCCTCTCCCGAAGGTGACAGTTAGTTTGACATACCCCCAAGGTTTTGTGCTGGCCCCATTGAAGCCCTGAAGGTCCGAGCCCACGTATGGGGTTAGGTGGGATTTGTTTAGCTGGAGGGTGGTGAACAAATGGGTGTACATGATGTACATTGAGCTTCCTTGATCGACCAGAATATGCCAAACATCAAAGTTTTCCATGCGAGCCCGTATGAGCAGTGGGATGGTCGAGCTGGGAGCTCCGCCGGGTAGTTCCTCTCGATAGAATGTGAGGGGGTGAGAGCCTCCCCTGACCTTGTCGAGGGTAGCGTCCATGTCAAAGTTGGTTTTGATAAGCTGATCAAACCTTCTCTTTACGGACCCCACCGTGTGCTTGTTGAATCTTGCGCCGGAGATGACCATCATAGCGGCGAAAGACTCATGGGGACTATGTGAGGAGAGGTATATGGGGACATCCTCTATGTTTGGGAAATAGAAATCTTCTGGTTGTGAGATGCTCATGGTGACCGGTATGATGTCTCTATCAGAGGACTTCTTCCCTTCTTTGACGCTATTGGTTTTGGGAGCCTCCTCGCGGGCACCCTCTTCCTTCTTCTTGTACTGTTTGAGGTGTCTGTCCCATATCAGTATCTCAATCGCGTCCTTGAGATAGATGCAATTGTCGATGTTGTTACCATGGCTTTTGTGGAACCCATAGTACATGCTCTTGTCGGTTCCAGGCTTGGAGGGAGTCTTGCGAGAAAAGCGTACCCCATCCTGTTTGAATTCTGAGTTGGCGCATTCGGTCAGATTATGCTCCCTCGAGGTGGTCAGAGGGGTGTAGTCGTGGAATCGACCAGTATACCCCTTGTAATCTTTGGAGTCTCGGGATTTGTCTTCCCGCTTTCTCTCTCCCCCCCGACGAGATGTCGAGGGTTCGTCGCTTCTCGAGGATTTGGCATTCTCTCGGTGTCTTGGATCCCTAGCATTATTGGTCGCTTCTTTCTCCTCATCTGAATGTACGCTTGAGCTTTGAGGAGGAGGGATTCGAGCGTGGCTGGGGTTTCGATGCCCACAGCCTTTGCGAAGTCGCTGCCGGGACGGAGCCCTTATTCTAGGAGGTGCTTCTTCGTGGCATAAGTCGTTGAGACCTGTACCACTTCTTTATTGAAATGCTTGATATATGCTCGTAAAGACTCGTCTCTGTCATGGATAATCGCTTCTAGCGATGCCTCTGATTTCAGATGTCGACGGGAGTGGTGAAGTGCCTCGAAAATATATTTCCCAGCTGTTTTCAGGAAGTGATAGATTCAGCAGGCAGGCTCTTGTACCAAGCCATAACACCTTTTCAAAGAGTGGTCGAGAGCAACATGCATTTGATCGCGCCTTTCACGCCTCGGTAATCAAGTTGGGTGTCAATGTCTTCTATATGGTCGTCTGGATCGGTCGTATCGTCGTAGGATCCCAACGGGGTCGGCTTCTCGAGCCCGACTGGGAGTCATGCCTCCATAATTTCTTTTGATAATGGATCACGGGGTTCGTCGTCATTGGTCTCTCCTGGCGATGATGGCGGGGAGCGATGGTTTCTTCCTCGCGAACATCATTATCTCTTCGAGGGGAGGGGCTCCGCCCTTGTCGCCTCAGTATGGGTGATAGCGACCTACTGCGGTCGTCTTTGCTGGTGCTCTTCGTTTTCTTGGAAAGCAGAGAATCTTTATCCTTTTTGGGAGATGCTCGATCATGTTTCTTGTGGAAAGAAACATTGAGCCTTTCCTTTCTTGGAGGAAGCCCACCTCGGGGATGTTATATGCTAGAGGAGTTATGTCGTTGGTATCTCCGAGGGGGAGATCTTGACCATTTATGCTCCATAGCCTCCATCCTTTTGCTCTGCTAAAGGATGAGGGAGTTAGTTTGGTTAAGGGCAGCGATCAATGCTGCTATGGCTGGGTCAGCGTCCTGCAGAATGGGGACTGGTTGTAGACTCTTGGGTTGGTCTTCGACATGGTTCTTGGGAAGCTGTTCGTCTAAGAATAAATTGTTGCCACGATCAGCGTCGATGGAATCCGGGGACGCAATATGCCCGTCATGGGAGCCGAAGTTGTCCTCTAGGTGAGGATGTTCTTGGCTTTCGTTGGTCTTACATATCAGGGAGAGCACAGTCGTTCCAGATAGTTGGTGATCATCATGGTCGGCCATGATTGATGAATGAGGAGGATCTTTGGTCTTCAAATTTTGGGGAACAAAAAACGGGGAAGATAACTTCCCACAGACGACACCATTGATCTTATCGGTTGATCAGAACTTGCAAGCTGGCCGGAGGATGATCTTTGACGGATTGGAAAGGTCGACGAGAAGGAGAGTGGTTGTATCTGTAAGGCACTCTGAGGATCAAGTAAGTGTGGGAGCCAAGAGACACAAGCAGAATATTAGAGTTTCATAGATGAATAGTGATTACCTGACCCTCACAAGTGCGAGGGTTTACATAATACCCCTGACGCGTAGCCAGTGGTTCCTATTTTTGGGCCTAGATATTCGGGTCCGTGAATATAGAAACTACCATAACTTGGTCAAACCGGGAAGATGTGCCCGCAACTAGCCGTTAGTTCCGAGAACGATGTAGATTACGGGTGTCAATCTGGTTGGCTCTTGGTTGTCTGGTCGACTTGATGTCGAGTAGACGGAGAAGTGTCCGTCGGACGTAGCTGGTCTCGTTGTCTGGGAGAGTCGTCGACCAGTGGTGCCCGACGGAGGGCGGAGGATTTCGAGCCATGATCGAATGAGTCGTGCTGAAGGTGGAGGATAGACTAGACTCATTCTAGCCGTTAGGCCAGTCCAGAACAGATTATTTTGCAGACATGTTTAAAACGTTATAAAAAATTCCTCGATAAAAAAACTCAAAATTTAATTTTTAAGTCGAGATTTTCATTACTTTCATCGATAATCTTTTGAAATAAAAAAAATTCATATTTAATTCATCTTACTTTTAAAAATTTTAAAATTTGATAAAAAAATATTTTATGGTATTTTAATTTTTTAAACACATAAAAAAATTATTCAAAAATTTAAAAGTTTAAGAGTAATTTAACAGTTGCTAAAATTTTAAAAAATAAATAAAATTAAAACTATATAAATAAAAATTTTGTAGGATTAAAATATATCATTTTTTAAATAAAAATTAAGAATAAAATTTAAAATGTTTATAAAGATCAAAACATATTTAACCTAAAAAAAAATTAAAAATATTCATTCATTCTAGACGGTAAAAAATAAAGTTAATATTTTTAATTAATATTTTATTTTTTAGTAATTTATTTATATGTTGTCATTTATTTCTTGAACATATTGTCTCTATATAAGGCTCTTTCTAAGTCTATATATAATGCTCTGAATTGATATTTTTTTAAAAAACAATAATGTTTTTTTTTTTTAAATTTTGATATATGGCTACGATTAACTAATTTAAAAGAATTAATTTTACCATTCATTAACGATAATCTAATTTAAAGTCAGAGCTGTATGGATTATATACCAACATAAAAATTATTAGATAAATATGAGTATTTCAACTTAGTAAAAAAAATTTAAGAAGTATTTATTCGTTGTAGACTTTGTTAAGAATAAAGTAAATATTTTATTAATTAATATTTTCTTTCTTCGTAACTTTTTTTTATGTTATCTCTTATATCTTTGTCATGTCTATCTAGAATGCATAAATATGAGCCTACACGATTGCAATTTAGTAAAAATAAATTAAATACCATTTATTTACTTTAAACATGTGAAGTGAATTTTTATAAGAAAATGTAACGTTGAGAAAAACATATTCTCTTAAGACCCAAACATTTTATTACTAGATCACATACACATATTAAAAAATTACAATAATTGATTATAATGTATTGACAGTATGAAATCTTTTATACTAGCAACGAACTAAATTAAATTAACCTCCTTGTTTTTCAGTTTGAACGTTTGCAAAACAAATTTTGACTCAGAAAATCAGTTTAAAACAAGTGTAAATTGTAGAATATAAAAATAAAAGAGTTGGATTTTTTTATAGAATTTTTACATTTTTCTCGTTTAGACTTGAATTTATAGTTAATTTATTTTTCATATATATTCAACCATAAACTACTTGATATTGAATTAAATTTCAAATCCAAAATATTCACTAGTAATATCTCTAAAATTGCTTTTCACTACAATTTACGTTGCTCGGAACAAATTATTATCCAAAAACAAGTAAACTAGTACTACAAATACTAAAACTATTAAAATTACCAACAAAAAAAAAATTGTGGAAATAAAAAAAATAAAATCAGATTGGATAATTATATATCGGTGGTTCTTGAATCAAAATCTTTGGAAAAGATGAATCAGTTATAAGCGAAGCTCTACACAAAGGACAACTCGAACGATTGACGAGCCACGAGTCAACACACTCACAGTGAAAACAGTGATTACATACCGGCAACAGTTTCACCTTCTCGCCATCTCTAAACGCGCTTAAACAAATACAGCACTCGGTTTCTTCCACCGCGCGGTTGGAAGAATCGGATTGATGTAATATGATAGGAAGCTTCTTGATCGCGTCGGCGTCGAGTCCTTCTGACGGTGAAGATGAAGAGTATGGTAATGTCTGTAATGGAGTGACGTTTGGTGTGAGAATTGCGCGGTTGCGGAAGATCCATCGCGCGCAGAGGAAGATGGCGGTGAAGAGGAGGATGATGGAGAAGACTGCGATGAAGAAGAAGATTTTTCGGCCTTTTATGGGGATGATTTGATCTTCGGTTTCTGGATCGAAGCTCCAGTCGAATGGCTTACCGGTTTGCGACATGAGGATACGCTGGTTTGGGGAAATTGCGACGGTGGCTGCCGGAGAAATGTGGAGTGCGGTGTGAAGAAAGTGAATTGAGTTGTGGTGGTGCTTTGAGTCTTCTTATATGGAATGGTGAATAACTGAATATATAGCATTATTTATACTCGTTACTTTTGGCCATTACGCGTTAATTAATCTATAACGTGAGGGAAATTTTAGTTAATCGAATTTATTTTTTTAATTAATTTAAAATATAATATCAATAAATAGAAAAACTAAAAAAAAAAAAGTAAATATAAAATAAATATAGTATAAATTGAAAGATATTTTATAAATAATATAATTAAATCGATTTTTTTTAAATTCTTATATTTGATATCAATATAAATATGAATGCGTTTTGTATTTATATTCCAGTTATCCTTTGTATTTACTTGGCTTTTTTTTATAAATAAATAAACCTTTTATTAAATCAAAAACAGTGACGATATAAGATAATTGTAAAAGATCCAACTCAAGTCCAACTAATCAACAAACAAAAAGGAAAAATTGAAATTTACTCATCTTCGGGCAACAAGGTAATTCCCGATCTTGAGATCTTCTCATCCTCTATAAACTAACATATTTATAATTTTTTCTCCTATATTTATATATTAGTAAAAAAATTGTGCATTTACACGGATCTTACAAAATCGATATAAATATTAAATAAATATTATATAATTATAGTTAAAAATATATATAAAAGATAAATAAATTAAATAGTTTCGGCCTATTAAAAATATATATTTTAGTAAAAAAATAAATGAAATAATTAAATAGTCATCTACTCGTCGTTCGCACGGTTTACACAATATCATTACAAATAGTCAATACTATTTTGGACTGGCTCAACGGCTAGAGTGGGCCCAGTCTATGCTCCACCTTCAGCACGAGCCATTCGATAATGTCTTCTGCCAAACGGGATTCCAAGCATGCTGAGAAGTCTGGAGTGTTCAAAGGTTCATCTTTTCAGAGTGTACCAACCAGCAAAATCGTTACTTTTGGAAATCAAGAGTTTATCACGCCTCCAAAACTTACTCGGAAACAAAAAGCTATTTATGCTTTCCAGGTACTAATCCCTTCTCTGCTCTCTGGTAAAACCCTAGGTTTCTTAGGCTCCTTGATCGCTACAGGAAACTTAGAAAAGTATGTAGAGTTTTTTCCTACTTATCATGTTACCAAACCCTTGGAAAACAAAACTGTACCCCCCAATGAGAACATTGAAAACCCCACTAAGAAGCCCAAAAAATCTTCTAAGGATAAAACCTCTGGGGACATTCCTTCAAACCCTAAGGCAGAGAGAGAAGCTTTCCAACTAGATTACATAACTGAGAGCTTTAGACCCTTTCGATCATGCCCAACCTTAGATAAATCCTATTTAGCTTGGCTTACTAAGGTTGAAAAGAAAAAAGCTTAGGTTTGGAAAGAATTAGGAATCTTCGACTTGATTCAAATGTCGAAACTAGGTTTTAGCTTTTGCCAACCTTTTTTGCCAGCGTCCCTGTATTTCTGGGATAATACTTATAATACTTTTCATCTCCCTTGTAGAATGATAACCCCAACTTTCTTCGACATTGCTGCCATCACCGGACTTTCTCCTACTAGAGAGACTTTTGATCCTTATTTGGAGTCTGAAGACACTATTGACTTCAATGTCAAAAATGCTTCTTTTAGCACTTATATAGACCTGTATCATGTTTATGGTGAAGATGTTTCTGACGTTAAACACATAGCTTTCCTAGCCTTATGGTTATCCAAATTCATTTTTTGCTGCAAATCTCTACAAGTAGCCAAGATATTTCTGACCCTAGAAAACCAGTTACATTCTGGTCGAAAGGTGTGTTTGAGTGAGTTACTTCTAGCTAGCCTGTATGAAAGTTTAGGGGCTGTTATTGCCAAAATTAAGGATTATGAAGCAGGCACCAACCTAAATTTATCTAGACCCTATTGGCTTCTTCAACTGTGGAAAAATGCCACTTTCGAGCCTTCTCTTTGAACTGCTGGAACTGTTGACGAAAATGACCCTGAAATAGCAGGTCAAAGCATTAAAGAAAATAGACTCTTACAACTAACTCCAAATGATGATGCTGAAAACCTTCAAGCTTGCCTCACCAAATACATGCTGATGTTCTCGAAACGTCACAATTTTACCCCATCTATGGCTCCTTTCTCCAATCGAACTCATGGTCCTTCCTAGTTTACTTCGTCAATTGAAGACGCTGTGAGAAATGCAGATATTGATATTCAAAACATATGGCGCACATTTCTTCTTCCTAGACTTCTAGTCTCTAGGATATTTCCAGTGAAAAGCTATGTTTGCTTGCTGGCTTATCAACCCAATTTTGTCTCTCGAAAGTTTGGATTGTGCCAACTCATCCCTGAATCTCTCTTCACTCAAAAACGTGCGATTTGCATTGCATTTGTGGATTACTCTATTCGAGACATCAAAAAATACCAGGAATACCATGCCAACTTTGCTGAATTTAGTCTCACTCCCTATCAATATACCTTCTATATGACCAATGGCTTCTACACCTGGTAGACCAACTTCTATTCGAGTAACATGTTCGACACTGCTCAAATAAATCAACGTTTAACTAAAGCTTTTTCCCTTGTGTAGGAAAATGTTTCAAAAGGTAAACTAACGCACACCAAGGAAATCCAGGCTTTCCAGAAATTCTTTGAAATTGTCTATGATCCAACTAATCTTAATTGAACCGTCTTCCATGCAGCTGTTGTTTTAAAAGAAAAAATTACAAATAAATTTCCACGTTTAAAGATTCCCTCTTCTGTAAAACCTGAACATAGGTATGATTTGGATTTTAAACTGCAACCACCAAAATTTCCAAAATTGCCTGGTGCTGATTTTGGCTTGGCGTTCTTTCCACCTTATCCAGATTGGTTCACTTGTGGCAATATTTTTAACGAGTTCAAAAATGATTCCCAAAAACCTGCTAAGAGAGTAGTTTCGACTAACTGCACTCTGGACAGTTTCAAAGGTTTCCTTCACTATAATTTATCAGCATTCTCTATTGTGTCTCCAACACGTGAAGGTGTGGAACCAAAGGATTCCTTGGTCCTTTTAATTGTCTTTTTATGAAACTTCTCAATTTTGATCATTTGACTAACTTTGTTAGTGTTTTCTAGTTGTTGAAAGAGCCGTAAAGAAAGAAAAACGTGCAGTGAAGGCGGATTCGACTACTGCCTCAAAGCCAACAACTTTTTCCAATCAAGGAGCTCCTTCTGCAAAGGGTTCTTCTCCAGGAAAAGTGGCAAAGAGTGCAAAGGTACTACTTCTAAGAATCCTTCTTACCCTTTTACATTCTCTGACTGTGATTTTTGCATTTTTTTCCTTCTTTTTTTAGGGTAGTGGTTTGCCTCCTCAAACACCAAAGAAAATAAAAACTCCCAATGAAGAAGCAATAGTGATCCCTGAAGATGATGATGAAGATGTCCTCCTCACTCCATTCAAGGCCAAGAAGAAATAAAAGAAACCCACAACATCGAAAGATGCACCATACCAAGCTACCAATCAGAAAGATATCAAAGTAAAAATCATCTCTCCTCCTCAACATGAGGTTAAACCTTCACCCTATGGGTTTGTAATTTTGGAGTGTATTGGAAGCAATGCTTCTAATCCTGATGATCAAAAGGTACATCTTTATTTCAGTATTTTCATTTCTTTCTCAAATGTATCTTGACCTAATAGCTTATTTCTATCTGTAGGATAAATCAACTACTCCTCTTGTTTCCACTATCAACCAAGATGCTCCTTTGAATACAGAGACTCCTTCGCCTCCTCCCTCGTCCAGTGGTGCTGTCCAAAACAAGGGGTCCTCGACTGAGGTTTGTCAACCTGAAGCAGGTGATGTCCAAGTCGAACAAGAGACTTCATTTCCTGGAGAAGATGTCTTACCAAAATCTGGTAAGCAAATAATGGAGGAAGATGAAGACTCTAAAAGTACTCCCAGTAAATCTCCTTCAAAAAGGGCTCCATTTCCTGCAGATTATATCGAGGATGTAGATCAGTACTCAGATGGGATCGAGACATACTTTCGTGATGATGAGGAAATGGGGGAGGTCGAACAACAACCCTAGGACACACATCCAACACAAACCGATGTACCAAAAACACATGTTCGATCAGTTTCAAATCCCATTATGTCTCCACCACTCACCAAGGAGGAAAAGATAGCACTAAAGAAGAGTGATCCCCTCAAGTATGTGAAATTGATGATGGCTCTAAGGGAGTCTTCTTTTGACAAAAACTCTTCTGGTGCTAGTGCTAATGAAGCTTCCTATGACAAACTCCTTTAGCAAGTGAAGAAAGTTGTATTCGAAGCTGACTTGTTCGAGGTGCTAAAAACAGACATCACTGCTCGTTTTGGGATGAAGAAATTGATCAATTGAATCAACATTACTGTTTGTCCTGCTAACGCAGGTGAGGTCTTGATAGATATCCAAAATTTAATCGACCAAATCTGCGTTGAGTATAATAGGGAAGTTGATGCAACTTCGAAGCTTCAAGAAAAAGAACAAGAGCAAACTGCTGAATTTAACAAAGCTCTCAGCACCTCTAAAGCATATGAGGATTTGTTGGCTTTAAGGAAGGCAGCCCAAGCGGAGTTCAATACTTATACAACTTCAATCACACTTTGGGAGTCTCACATTATGGAGTTGCAGAAGAAGATTACTGATGCCAAGGTGAAACATGCTTCTATCAAAGGATTGGACATCACGGAGGCTGATACTTTGGCTACACAGAGCGTTGAACATGTCAAAAGAGCTTCAGCCATGAATGAAGAAATTGCACGCCTCAAAGGCATACAAGATGTTGTTCAATACAAGCTTGGCCTGGCGAAGATCAAGTATGAGAGGATGAAGAACACTATCCCATTTTACTTTGTGTAATTTAGATTTCATTGTATTTCCTTTACGTTGTAAGAATTCTATACAAAGCCATTTTGGCGCTTTTT